GACCCTTTTATCCACAGTCAAGACCTCTTAGTGTAATATAGAGCACAGCTAAGACCCTTTAGTGAACTAGAAAAAATATATAATCATGGGTACTTTTCTAGTCGATCGCAATGTCACATGCGTCTCATATGCCAAATCACAAATGTACCATATACAATCTTTAAGGTTCCACAGATATTATGGTAAAAGAATTATCCATAATAATCATATAATCGAACACATAATTGCATATAATGTAATAGTATGACTAATTTATCGATACTTGAAAATATTTAAGTTTTTCCACTCACTGATGTATAGATAGCAATCAGATTAAATTGACGAGTATTTTCAAACTTTCACGTCACTACCTGAAATAACGGTATAATAACTCAAATTAAAATCTAACAAATAAACTAATGCAAATATACTACATAATTTCTCTAACTTTTATATTTATTCTTGCATCTTTATTTCTTTAACTTTTAATCTCTTTAATGATTTATACTAACAAATCACCAAACACGATCAAATCCATTAAATCACTATAATTTCTTAAAATCACTATCTTATACATATACTATACAACCCCTATACATTACCTAATCCAACATCTAAACTTCAATATTTATCATTCAGTTCCATTCAAACTTATAAAATATGAAAACACAAAGTTTTGACAAGAACAACACTAAAATTCTAGAGTATTGTAATCTGACACCTATTTCTATATATTGAAAAGTAGCACCAAAACCATTGACAAAAATAGCACTTTTCCTAGCAAAATTTCATAAACAACAATTGCTCGAAAATAACTTAAAATTGCTTGGAATGGAGGAATCAAACCTCAAATCATTAAATAAAGTGTTTGACATCATATAATCACTAGAAAATCAAAGAATAACTATCCATTTCATTAACCAATTTTCAAAGTTTCACTTTCTTTGACACCAATCTTCCAATATACATTTCTTTGACATATTCTTGTTTAATACCTCTAATTCTTGCTAAACTTTGAAGATAAGCGAATTGTTCATAAACCCTAGAAATTTAATTAACATGCCTCTTTAAAATAAGGAGGAATTGAAAAAACCTTACCTCAACAAGTGTTTAATCATCATTTCCCATCGCCAAACCGGCCTATTCTTCTTCTTCTTCTTTCTCTCCCTCTCTTTCCTTTCCTTTCTTCCATTTCTTCTCTGCTTTTTTCTTATTTTTTTTTTCATTCTTCTTAAATGAAAAATAATGGGAAGGTACGGGTGTCAAACAGGTAGAGCGGTTCGTCGGCTCTGGCTTGTAAAATTACGAGCTCGAGCACAAGGCAAATGTGTCGACCCGTTTGGCAAGGGTAACTGGCTCGGCTCGCCCGTAGGCAACATGCTGGTGGGCGCGAGCCCACAAGCTTGGCTCATGGGCTCATATCATGCGAGCTACGAGTCAGGCTCGTGGGCTCATTGGAAGCGGCTCACCATGAATAGTGACCATTTAATAGTCATTTTTTATAAAAGGTGACCATTTCGATCACTGTTCAAAAGTTCAATGACCGTTTCCACAATTATCAACATTATACAATACACGACATTACTACATTTATTTTTACAATTTCAGTTATTTAATTTCAATTCATTCAATTCTTACACTACAAATTTACAATTACGAATTCACAATCTTAAACACATTATACCTTCATTTTCGTACTTTTTTACTTAAGTCTTAGTACAATCGCAATTTGATAGTCCAGACGTCGATTCTAAGACTTCGCCCCTTATCACGTGGATGTATTTGGAGGAGAATGCTCGAACGGGAATGGTGAAATTTGTTACTGGTGTGGAGTTACCACTAGCAATAACAGACAACCAGCATTTGTCTCGTACATAAAAGAATATCTTCAACCAAGGTACCTTGGGGTAAGTCGAAAAACTTTTCATTCAGATATAATAGAATATTTCCTTCAAACAAACAACAATTGATTATGGATTTACAAAAATATGGGGTTATTATATCTTTAACTTTAGATATATGGGAGGTGATTAATAAAAGAGCTTACATAGACCCACTTTGGTGTATACATAAAAAAATTATTGCTTTTAAAATTATTGAATCCCCTCATAACGCTAACAATATATATAATACTACTATGACCATTATTTGAGAATATCATTGCGAAAGTAAGATCCATTCTTTTACATTCGACAACGCTAGTGTTAATAAAGTGTTATCGATAAATTGTGTAGGACATTGCAGCTTGATTTCAATGGTTATTTATTTCATATTCATTGTCTGTGCCATATTTTAAATTTAATTATGTAAGATAGTTTGAAATATATTAAAGATGAAAGGCAAAGAATTGGGAATGCACTAATATATATCACAATCTCCCATAATAGAAAACAAGCATTTGAGGAATTTTGTACCGAATTTGGAATAACAAATGCTAAAATATTTATTAGCGATGTAGTTCAAAGATGGAACTCCACTTATTATTAAAGTCAAGCAAAGGTTTTGAATATTTAATAACTGAATTTTATAACAATAAGCATATTAGAAACGATGGCGATATTATTTTGAATGAATCCGATTGACTTTTAGCTTTAAAAGTTAAAAGATTTTTGACAAGGTTTTAGACACCATAAATATTTTATCTGGAGTTTACTATCACACTAGCTGTATGGTGCTCAAACGTCTTTATATAATTGTAAGGATATTTTATAAATATAAAAATGACCTCAATTTTAGTGCAATTATATATTCTGTGGAATTAAAGTTTAAAAAATATTGAGAAGACTTACCTATGTTATTTCCTTTAGCATGCATCATAGATCCTCGATATAATTTATTGGGAACTAAATATGTAATTGATTAAATTTTAAGAGTTTTAACTTTTAATACATCTATCACGTATAGAAATTTAGAGCAAACTTTATATGAAATTTTATATGCAGTACAAATGGGTATAAATATTAATCGAATACTCTCTGCACCTGCTCCTTCAACTGATATTAAAGAAGATGACGCTGAAATATTAACTTTATTTGAAAGCATTAACACGTATCGGTGTGATGCAAATGCAATAGGTTCATCCAGTAATACTTTGTCTTTTGCATGTAATCAAACATCGGAGACAAGTTCAAATATATTGCCCGCTGAATTAATTGATTACTTTAATCATAATATATCTATCAACAAAACAATCAAAAAAAAAAGTTCCAAAGAAGTTATTCAATTTTGGCGAAGATACGAACGACGATGGCCAGTAGTTTCTACAATTGAAAAAGACTTACTGACGTTTCCAGTTAGCACTGTAGTTTTGGAGTCTGCCTTTAGTGCAGGTAAGAGAGTTTTGCCCAAGGTCAGAAGTCGACTGAAAGAAGATATTTTGGAAACATTAATGTGCGTGAAGGAATAGTAAGACGCTCATTTTCGACTACAAGATAAATATACCGAAATTGCATGTCGTCAGGTAAGTGATATTTAATTTAACCATATTAATCAAAATTTATTATTTTATACTACTTTTTTATTTTCTTTAAAAAAATTGTACACGTTACAAGTTATTCGTATACAATTTTTAAGTTCGCCTATTCAAAATTTAAGTAGTCGATCCCAAGCTCGGATAAAGGAGGACAGTTTATAGTTTATCTTTTTTTTTTAAAAGAAAAGAAAATACGAGTTTGCAAGCCGAGCTCACCCCTTGAGTAACGAGCCGAGTATCATCACAAACGAGCCACAAGATCTGCTCGTGACGAGCACAAGCCAAGCCGAGCTCGTGCTTATAAGGGGCGAGCCGGCTCGACCCTACGGGAAGGATAACTATTACAAATTAGCAAAAGAAGTCCCTTGCCTTCTTATAATGTAACTTTTAGCCCTTTCATTTCTAGCCCTCAAATATTTGTAATTACAATTTAAGTCTCATGAAAATAATTTATTCAATTTAATTCCTTATTTGACTTTGACTTTGACCAATTGAATTTTGGACATTGACTAAATAATTTTCTTGACTTTGACTATAAATTAATGGGGTGTAACTTCATTACTACTAAATACTAGCCTTAAAATTGAATTTGTACAAAGATCAACCAATGAAAGAATAACATAGACGTAATCGATCAAAGAATTTGGCATGACAAACTGAATCATTTCCCAGACGAGGATCACAAATGCAACAATGAGTTCTTGATGAGTCAGCCTACAAACGATAATAAAAATTTTAACTCTTTCCAATTTCAAGAAGCAATACATTGCAAAAAATTAGCAATTGTCATTGTTTATATGGAGCATACATAAGACTGACAGCCATAGCCAATTGAGTCTTTGAGGAATCAAAAGATTCATAAAATGTTTCTCAAAACTTGCACAACTTCTTATTGCGTCAAGATTCAGTCATTACAAATTTATGCGATTTGTTAGGACCATTAGATATAGTGAGGCTTTAATGTGACAAAGGGAGAGGGATGGGGGATCCCTATTGAATTCTAGCCCGTAAATCATGGCTAATATGATTTTTGTTTGTATTAGCCTTTGTTTGGGTCTCATTTTATTTTGCTAAAATTCTAATTTTCAAAGTCAAACATCAATTTTAACCTCACATTTCGCAGGACATAGAAGTACAACTCGCCTATCAACCATGATTCTTCCTCTTCTCTTCTCTTCCCTTCTTCTCTCCTGGAACTAGAATGGAATGACTTGCATATAGAAAGAAAGTGCCAAAAGAGGAAAAGGAAAATTCCTATTTGCTCCTCTCATGAATAAAGAAAGCAATGACTTGGAAATACAACTTAGAAAACAGATTCATACAAATATGTCTAAAGCATAAACTCATACTGTGAGTAATGATATAAAACTGAACCATGACGAAGGCTTCCATTAGTCATCTAGTTCATTGTCATACTAAAGGCTGCTTCAAAGCTGTTTTTCTATTAAAAACAATTTTCTTTCTTAATATAAAGCTAAAAACTAAGTCAACTTCATATATTGATTTAGAATTCGAATACTCCCTATGTTAAATTAGTAAGAGTGTGCTTCTTAAAAAATAAAGATTCATCAACAATTATTGACATGACCCGTCCCGAATCACCTTATTGGACTCGACATGTGTCGTGCGCCGATGATAGTTACCAGCTGAATGCTGGACTCACCACCAATGCAACCTTAGCTTATTTGACTGGAAAATATTTTTTACGAAATTTTGACGGAGTTTCCCCTGAAATATAAACTAAAACCACCTGAACAATAACCAATTTTCCTCAACTCAATACCTATGATATGAATAGGGTAAGACAATCCCTCAAAATACAAACTCTTCAAATAAAATGTTGGTAAATCGACATTTACTTACTTTACACTCAACAATTCTCAAATATACTAAAGATACCAACTATCTAATGAGCCCATAATGAACATTTCTGATTTAAGCTACATGTATCTCAAATGAACACATAATGTATAATCTGATAAATGATGTCATACAACTTATGACGAGTGACTCAATTTTGTGGTTCAACAAGTTCCAAAGCTGCTCAATTCGGCTACTATCTGTCCGATGAAGAAAAAGGTGGAAAAAATATATGAGCTTAAAACTCAGTGAGTGGATAATTTTCAAATAAGTAAACTTTTATCATTTATGCATATTTTCTGAAAATTCTTGCACTACTAAAACTTCGAGAAATTCTGAAATCTGGTAACACTTTTAAAATCAAACATGAATACATTATAAAATTCTTTGTTCTTCATTCTAGATAAATAACTGTAAAATGTAGCGAATATAAATAATATGACATCCATGAAAATCTGTGAAATATTGCTGCTGCTCAATACTATAAACTGAAAGTTTTAATTTGAGAACTAAATAAACTGAATTCTATAATTTGAAATCTGATAAGTTGTAGAAATATTGAAAAATCACACTAAAAAGGTACCCAATGAATAGCCTTACTCACATACAAAGTAATCTCGATGTACAAAGCAAAGCCATTCAAATCTGATATTCTGATAATCTGGTCATGCGTACGCAGAATTGCCCCAAAGGCTAATCACCCTAGTACATGGCCCAAATCCTATGTGTGTACGAGAGTGGGTCCCAAAGACCTCTGATAATCTGGTTAGACACTATGGAAACACATTCACAATAGTGCAAAGCGGGTAAAATTACCATAACTAGTCATATACTGTGGAAACACATTTACACCAATGCAGACTGGGTAAAATCACGTGGGTACTTTCTGGTGGTTTTTAGAAATAACTTTAGCTATACTGAAACATGTAATACGAATAGAACATGCTACAAAAATGATTTAACTGAACTGAATCAAACATTAAAAAGAACAAATTATAAAATCAATTTATTTATTCTGAAAATCATGCTATCAACTTAACTCTATAAAATAAGTAACTTTAAATTTAATGAATGCTTATTTCTGAAAAATAGGTTTTATCCACTCACCAAGTCATAGTTGATCATTGTTTCGATCTTCTTGTCGCCTCCTCACTTTCGATACCAAGAATGTTATCACGCTTTCTCTACAATAAATCATATCCTTTCATAGAGGAGCCTTGAGTATTTTCCTACCATTAGAAATATTAATTTACCGATGGGAACTTGATATATTTTATTTTCAACTTCATAATCCCAATTAAGATCACTAACAACATATACTCCTTCATATAAATTATTTTAACAACAAAACCCCAAATATTCAACACTTAATTTGGTTTCAAATATTAAAAATCCACCAAAATTAGATGATTGACAAAAACTAGCACTTAATTTAAGTGTTTAGAATCATATAATCACAAGAATTTCAAAGAATATGCATTTATCTCACAAACCCATTTCCAAAGTTTCCACTTTCTTCAACATCAACATCCAAATAAATATTTCTTTGCTATATCCTTTTTATAACATCAAGTACATATCAATACCACATGATTATTGCCAAACTTTCAATTATAGCAAATTTCCCATAACTCTTAAAAAAATTAATTCAATATACATAATACTTACCCTTCTAAATCAAAAGAGAAATTGAAAAAGTTGAGAACCCTTAGCTTGAACCCATCTTCTTCTTCTTCTTTTCCCCTTCATTTTTCTCTCTTTCTTTCCTTCTCTTTTCCTCTCCGTCTCTCTCGACCCTTCTCTCATTTCCTCTAGTGTGTGTGTGTGTATGTTTTTGGAGTGAAAAATAATGGGTCAAAGGTATATAAAGACCCACTTACTAAAAATTGTAAGGGAAGTCCCTCAACTCCATTTTAATATAACATTTAATCCTTCTAGCTTCCCTTAATATAAAAGTAAATTCCAAATTTAAATTATATCCAATTTAACCCTCATATATTGCCAATGTTATTTAATTTTAGTCCTTAATTGACTAGTCAATTTTTAATTTTTGACTAAGAAAAATTGGGTTGTAACAATTATAATTCCCGATTTTGGATAACAATCTTTTTTATTCAAATATTATTCTAAAAAATTATTTTTTTTCCTACATATTATAATTCTATTAAATTTACTGAACCTGAAATCCCCTAAAACCTCAGAAGAGATGCTTGATGGTAAAGTATATTTTTGACACATAAGAATTTACAACATGAATAATGACTAAGTAGTTAGTGCTCCGTGAATTTATATATGAGTAGGGTCAAAGCTTCTTAAGAGAGAGGTCTAAAATCCTTTTCTTAGGACTAAGTGACTTTTGGAAAGATAAAAAGTGTTACATGAATTTTGTGCAATAAGAGTACCCCTATATTGTTAATAATTTATGGTTCTTAGCATTGGAATCTTAAAGGATAAATATCTATAAGTTGAAATGAGTATAGTGAAATGGATATATAGTTTTGCTAGGATGGTAACATAAGAAATAAGAATCTATACCAACGAATGGAAACTACTCCGGTTTTGACAAACTAAGGGAAGGACAAGTTAGATAGTTGGGTATGTCTTGCATGGACCTAAAGAGGCTCTCTTTCACAAGAGTACATTGATCTCAATATAAGAGGTCAGAAAAGAGACTGGTACATCGATGCCCTTTATATTGAATCTATACCAACGAATGGAAACTACTCCGGTTTTGACAAACTAAGGGAAGGACAAGTTAGATAGTTGGGTATGTCTTGCATGGACCTAAAGAGGCTCTCTTTCACAAGAGTACATTGATCTCAATATAAGAGGTCAGAAAAGAGACTGGTACATCGATGCCCTTTATATTGCTAAAGGTCTAGTCGCTTTGAATCTTCCACTAGATGAACTAAAGAGAGAGGCGAAAAATGATTCATTTTAAAAATTCAAAATTTATCACTTTAGTGTTTATAAAAATTTGGGGTGTTACAGTTTGGTATCAAAGCAACTATGTGAACAGGGATGGCTGAGACTCAAAGCAAGTCAAATGAAGATCATCTGAAGTGGTTGGACAAGGAGGTCACAAATCTGAGGGTAGCACTTAAATCCTTAGGTCAAATGCTAAAAGTGTTGAGCACCAAGCATGATAGATTGGAGGAAATGATCGGTGAAATGAACCAAAAGTATGAATCTATTATAATAATGTTAGCTCAGATGAATAGGGTAAAATTGATCTTAAGGAAAAACAAATCGAAGGAAGTGCAGTGCCATTTCAAATCAGTAGTGATAAAAATTGTGGGAGTAAGTACCATTCAAGTAATTCCAATGGAAGTAGAGAGTTTAAAATGTATTCCAATTACCCAAAATAGTTTTCCCTTATTTTGGAAAAGATAGACCCAGGGAGTGATTGCGAAAGGTGAAGAAATACTTTCAGATTCATCAAATAGAAGATGGGATGAGGCTAAGAATTGCTTAATTGTACCTGCAGGGGAAGGCTAACATATGGTTCCATGGATTTTTTTCCAGCCATCCCCATGCTGATTGGGACATGTTCTCGAGAGAATTTGTAGGAGGTTTGCTGAGAACACAGTATAGGAAGTAATAGAAGTCTTCAGTAAGCTAAGGCAGAAAGGATTTATGATTGAATACCAGTAGTGTGAAGAATTGAAATCCCAAGTGATTATTTCCTTGCTGCACTTGTCGGAGTCCTACTATGTTTCTGTCTTCACTAGTGGCCTGAAAGAAGAGATCAAATCAATGGGTAAAATAATTCAACCCCAAACTCTAACCAAAGCCTTCGAAATTGCCATTCTACAAGAGAATACGATCACAGTCGTTAGGAGATGCTCTAAAACTTTCAAACCTTACTCAACAAATAAATGGACCAACCCAACCTCTAAACCAAACAAACCCACTCCTAAATCCACACCCTACAATGAACAAAAAAACCCCACTAATCCCTTTAAATTCAAAGATATTATACCCTCAGACTTTCAGGCAAAAAGAAAGTTGGGATTATGCTATATATGTGGTGAAAAGTACATTGGAATCACATTTGTAGAAAAGGATGCTCAATTTCATTCTAATAGATGAAAAGAAGGATGAAGTGGTAGAAGAACTACCTAGAGATGAAGGAGAGCAAGTAGATAAAGGAGGAGTTGGTGAATTATAACAGATACCACTTTATGTATTATTGGGCAGTAACAAGGGTAAAACTATCAAGTCATAGGGTTGATCAAAGGAAAAAAAGTGTCTATTTTGATAGATGGTTCTAAGCACTCATAGCTTCATTGATGAGCAGTTGGTCAATAACATTACTTGCAGCCTATAGACAGTAAGACCTACCATAGTAACTGTTGCAGGAGGATGGGAACAAGTTAGCAAAGCTATTTACAACTCATTAACTTGGAAGATGCAGGATCTGGAGTTCTAATATCAATTGAGGGTTCTCAAATTAAGGGGTAGTGACATGGTACTAGAGATGGACTAGCTAAGTTAATTCAACCTTGTATTATTTGATTTCATAAAGGGAAGAATTACCTTCAACCATGAAGGTGTCAAAATGGAACGTCCAGATGAAACTATTAGAGAGGAATTTCAGATGTTGATTGACAATGAAGAGAAAGGATGATGCAGGAGTAGCCATAGAAGATGTCAATAAAATAGCCTTTAAAACTTATGAAGCTCTATATGAGTTCAGAGCAATGCCATTTAGTTTGACAAATTCAGTAGCCACATTTCAATGCCTAGTGAATGAGGTATTCAAGCAACATCTCAAAAAGTTCATCCTAGTGTTCTTTTATGATATTTTGGTGTATAGTGCTAACTTAAAATCTTACCGCGAACATGTTTCTACCTCAAAAACCATCAACCCTATGCTAAAGGAAATAAGTGTTTCTTTGAACAATCTCAAATAGAATACCTAGGCTACATTATTTCTACAGAGGGGGCATCAGCTGACCGTTCTTGTACTGAATCTCGTAGTTGAGTTCCAACAGTTTAGATAGCCATTTTTGTTGCAATGAGGTCGTGATCCTTTGCTCCAGTAGATACTTAAGTGATCGATGGTCAATCTTGATGATGAAGTGATGACCCTTTAGATAATGCCTTCACTTTCCAACAGTTATTACTAATGCTAGGAGCTCATTCTCATATATCAATAAACCTAAATTCCTACTACAAATGCCCTTGCTCAGGTAGGCTATAGGTCTTGTATTTTGCGTCAAGACTATCCCTAATCCACCACAACATGCATTAGTTTCTATGTCAAAGGTTATACAAAAATTTGGCAAAGCTAGAACTGGTATGGTGCTCATGGCCTTCTTCAATTCTTGGAATGCTAAGCCACCACTTTCATTCCAATGGAAGCTATCTTTCTTAAAGACATCCATTAAAGGCATAGCAATAGACACATACCATCTTAAAAACTTTTTATAGTACCTAGTTAGGCCGAGAAACCCCTTAAGCTGTTAACATTGACTGGTGTTTTTTCTTTTTCTTTGATCCACTTGACAGCCCGAATCACCATCATACCACAGATCCAACTGACCCATACTAACCTATAAAATTATTGTAAGAGTGTGCAGTTTTCTTACACAATTATATAACAATCAATTTAAACACTTCATATCATTCTTTTCTTATGGAGTATATCAGTGACCAAGTGTATACCCATCTTAGGTCATCTTAAATTCTTGAAGGATTTTATATATCTTTATAAAGAACCCCAAGGTCCATTGACAATTCATGCATAATTGAAAGAATATAAAAGTATACAGAAACAAACTACTTGCACATAAGTATCTTACAAAAATTGTATAGGTTAGTTCGGGTCGATTGAAACTGCGGCGGGATGGTAATGTCGACTGTCAAGAAAATTTGAAGAAATAAAAACATTATTATTTTTTAATTCTTAGTTTATTAGATAGTTTTATTTGTTCAAAGACACATTTATTAATTAGTTAACTAATTATGCTTAAATTTTTTTAGAAACTCGAATTCCATGTTTTAATTGATATTTTATGGCTAAAAAAATAAATGAATTACTTTTATTTGTGTCGGTTTCGCATTTAGCGTGAAGAAAAATGAATTTTTGGTTACATTCTAGTGATTATAAAATTCTGGGATGTTACATTGCTTCTCTCATGTACACGCCAAGCCCCTTTTCTCCTCGGTTCACAAAGATAAAATGTGGGACTTGTGCCAACAGTTCATCACGGAAGAAAGGACTCACTAAACCGAGATCACTAACTAATACTAATCTAATATAATAGAAAAAACTACCTTTTCTACATACTTTCCTCGGTTCTATTGCAATTGGTCTTTACGCAATCAATAAGATTAGATAAATTCCCCTTAAACACAACATAGGACATTGAAGGGATCTTGGAGACCCATCAAAGTACGAAAGCCAATATCTTTCAGAAAGTGGACTCCTAATTTGAAGAGTGCATAACTGCATGGATAAGCTCACACTAATCCATCAATTCGGGATCCATTCGATATTTTTCTTAGGAGGTATTGTGAATGAATTGGAACGAAATTAGATTGATACATATAGAAGAAAAGGTTCTCTATTAGTTCAAACATTGTACCTATGTGATAGGGATAAATGAAGAAAAAATAGAAGATTTTACGTAGTACATTTGATCGAAAAATCAATCAGATTGATTTCAAACCCTTTGTTCAATGAGAAAATGGGTCAAATTCTATAGGATCAAACCTATGGAACTTAAGGAATGATATAAAAAAGAGATGGAAAAATATTAAATAAAAATGAAATAGAAGAGCCCAGATCCAAATGAACAAATTCAAAATTGAAAAAGGTCTTTCTATTCTCGAAGAATGAGGAGTAAATGGATTGATCGAGAAAGATCTTTTATTCTTATTATAGGATCGTGATTGGATTCACATATATTTGGTAAAGAGAATAATCTTTTCCTTTGAAAATAATCAAAAATGGAAAGTGTTCAATTGGAACATAAAAACGTGACTAAATGGTCTTAGTTATTCTTCGGGACAGAGTGGAAGAAGGGGAGAATTCTCGAACGTAGAAAATGATCCAATGAATTTGAAAGAATTGAACGATGAGCCGTACAAGGTGAAAATCTCATGTACAAATTTGTAGAGTGCCAGTAAAGATGACTTATCTGACAACTTTTTCACTATCACCCCAAAAAGCCAAACTTTACCTCATGTAAAGTTGCCAGAGTATGATTAACCTCTGGATTTGAAATCACTACTTATATACCCGGTATTGGCTATATTTCACAAGAACATTTTTCAGTCTTAGTAAGAAGAGGAAGGGTTAAAGATTTACCCGGTGTAAGATATTACATTGTTCGAGAAACGCTAGGTGTTGTCAGAGTAATGGAGAGTCAACAAGGGCGTTCTAGTGCATTGTAGATCTTATCCAAGACTTGTATCATTTGATGATGCCATGTGAAAACATAGAAACATATGAAGTGTGTGGCTAATCCAATAACAAAAGTTTTGTAAGGGGACTGGAGCAGGTTACCATGAGATAAAAGATCTTCTTTTTAAAGTGATTCTATTCGGAGCTCTTATATGTCCAAGGTTCATATGGAAATAATTTTGGAGGTTTTTTCCTGACTTTGTCTGTATCAACAAACAATTCGAAACACCTCAGCTTTTTTAGAACAGAACCGAGTCAAATAGCAATGATTCGAAGCACTTCTTTTTAAACTACTTCAGAAACCCAAGGACTCAATCGTATGGATATGTAAAATAGAGGATTTCCAATCCTTACAGAAAAGGGAGGGAAATGGATACTCATTTTAAAGTGAGTAAATAGAATTCCACACTCGATTCAAAGATACATATAAATTTTTGTGGAAAATCGTAGTCGATGAAAGTCAGGGAGATCTTTCATATCTTTTGAGATCTATCCTACAATATTGGGTAAAAAAGATTAAAAAAATATATATAAACTGATTTTGGCCCTTATAAAATGAAAATTGAAGACATTGGTTATTCAAACTCTATGCAATCTAACTCTCTCTTTGATGTATAATTGTACAAGTTGTTTCATGTTGAAATTTACTTTGATTGGCTGAAAATAAGCTGAGTTTGTCAAATGGTCAACCACTATCCAAGTGGCATTATGACCTCTTGATGATCTCGAAAAGCGAACTACAAAGTCCATCGCTATGTATTCCCATTTTCATTCTGGAATATCCAATTGTTCCAATAATCTTAATGGCCTTTGATGTTCTGCTTTGACATGATGACAGACAATCTCCATGAATAGACCAATTCCTCTTTTCATGAGTTCTCCACCAAAATATATCTCAGAGATCTTGATACATTTTTGTATGGCCTAGATGTGCAGCATATGGTAAGAAATGAGTCTCTTCCAATATCTCGTTCCTTATTTTCTCATCCTTAGGAAAGCTCAATATTCCTTTAAAAGTCAGCGCTTTATCTGTAGATACTTCAAATCTTATATGTTTGTACCAACCTTAGTCTTAATCTTTTGCAAAAATCGATCCTTATCTTGTACTTCGTTGATTTGATCCTTAAGAAGAGGTTGAATCACAAATGCTTTTATTCTCGCTATAGTCAGAGTTGGCGGTGTGATGACTTTCAATCTTAGTTTCTCAAAGTCTTTTATAAAGTGTTTTTGCACCGTAAGTAAAACTACTAACTGCGATCTTGTCTTCCTGATTAAGGTATCTACGACTACGTTAGATTTAGCCAGATGGTAAAGAATTGTATAGTCATAATCTTTCATTAAGTCCAACCATCTCCTCTATCTCATATTCAATTCTTGCTATGTAAAGAAGTATTTGAGACTCTTATGGTCCGTGTAGATTTTACACTTCCTTCCATACAAATAGTGATGCCATGTCTTTAAGGCGTGGACTACCGACCAAAATTTACACTTCTTGAATTTGCCCAATAAATTTTCATTCCCCAAAGGTTTAAGTACTACTCGAAGTTATTTCTCATGAAATTTCTTATCTTTGGAGTACACAAGTGTATTGTCAACTAATACTATGATGAATTAGTCTAAGTAATAATGGAATACTCGCTTCATAAGATCCATAAATACATTCGAAGCTTTGGTCAAACCAAAAGGCATGATAGTAAATTCATAATGTCCTTAACGAGTCTTGAAATATGTTTTTGGTATATAGATTACCTTGACCTTCAGTGGATGATACCCCGACCACAAGTTGATCTTTGAAAACACCTTTGGACCCTTAATTGGTCGAATAAATCTTCTATTCTTGGTAGCAAGTATCTATTTCTGATAGTAAAATGGTTCAATTCTTGATAGTTAATGCACATCCTCATATTCCCATCCTTATTCTTAACAAAAAGTATTGGAACGCCCTAAGGAGATACGCTCAATTGAATGAAACCTTTTTCCAGCAACTTCTCCAACTGTTACTTCAATTCTTGAAGTTTTTTTGGTGACATTTTGTATGGGGCCTTAGAAACTGGTGTAGATCAAATCGACTGTAAAATCTACATGTCTATCTTCTGGAATGCCCGATAGATCTTTTTGGAATATGTTTGCAAAGTGTCACACAATGTTAATATTAGTAACGGTTGTTTCTTTATGTTTGGAATCGATGATATTAACTAAGAATTCCTGACATGATTCATTTCTCAGTATCTTCTCCATTTATACAGCCGATACAAGGCAAGATAAAGACTTAAACTGTGTTCCAAAAAAATGAAATTCTTCCTCTCCTGGCCGATGAAATAACACTTCTTTTTCATAACATCGAATGGTCACATGATTGTGCCCCAACCAGTCCATGCCTAAAAAAAATCGAAATCTTCCATCTCTAAAAGGCATAAGTCCTCTACAGTTCCTTTTCGCCATCTCTAACTTTATAGCCTTAGTCATCTGATTTGTGCTAAGATTTCTTTCTGAATGGATGCTAAACTCTAGTACAATATTCGTTTTCACACATGCAATGTTAATCCTAGTGACGAAGGACGCAGAGATAAAGGAATTTGTAGTCCCAAAGTCAAAAACTACGTACGCAGGTATATCCGATAATAATAGAATACCTATTTTGTAATTATAAAATTAGACTTAGTGATGGAGAATGCAAAATCAAATAATATAAATAGTTACTTCAAATAATAATAAAATACATGCTATCACATTCGGATCATGCTTTGCCTTATGCTGATTTAGTGCAAAAACTCGAGCATTCCCTTTTTTGTTCATGTCCTGATCATCATACTTCTTCTTCGAAAGCTCTGTACATTTGAAAGCAATGTATCTCGGCTTACCAAAATCCATGTTCTTCCCAAGTAAGCATTCACACTTGTGGAGTTTATTACACTTAAGACAAGGTATAATACTCCCATTCGTTTCATCGATACGAACTCTTGTGCTTGGTCCTTTATTCGACTAATTATGTATGTCTTTACTCTGATTATTCCACTTTTTTTTCCATTGATTCCTTGCTTTGATGGGCATACTATTCGAATGTAGTCATCTCGTATAAAATAGCATGATCCTTCTCCAACATTTTACGATATGAAGTGAAACGATGAGACATAATAATCATGCCAATCTTCAGGTGTAGTCCATTTTCGAATCTCCTGATCCACTTAACTTTGTATCTACCGAGTGTGGGGCATATCTTGAGAGCTGATCGAATTGCCTCTCGTAATCAATAAGTAACATGTTTTCCCGAGCTACAAAAACTTTGATCCCTTGAAGTCTCTCAAAGCTTGTGGGAAATACTTTGCAATCACCTCATCCTTAAACAGTTCCCAAGTCAAATTAAATTGTATAAGATAGACTTCCAACATTGACTAGCTGCTCCAACAAATATAAACTCTGCACATATTACCTTTTGAGCATCTGTACAAGCAATGTGTCGAAAGATACATTCCAGTCTTTTAATTCACTCCTCAACAACCAGTGGGTCGAAACCACGGTCGAAAGTAGGAGGCTTGTATCTATGAAACGACTTAACAAATCTAAATTCATCAACATAATAATTTAATCTAATTAAATGGTTAAAATCATACCGTATAATAATACATGTGAAAAATTAAATTCGTGGCATTACAACAACAATTTGAAGTATAATAACGATAAAAAATTGTGGGATTTGCATTTCTACTTACTTGAGGCAAATTATTGGACGATCATTTGGTCCATTAACAGATTTTTGTTATACATTTTTGCAAATTTGTGAAATTTCGACAATATGGCTGAGATAGGACCAAAAAGTCTCCTTTTTTTGTAAATCGGTCCAAAGGTAGTCATAAAAATGAAACAAGTCTGCAGAATTAATTTCAAACTTTGAATCGATATGTTGTACATTAGTTTAGCTTGAAAAGTTTAAATTAGATTGTTGCAGTTAGTAGCGGTTATCTACAATATATAAGGAATTGGTATGTTCCTCCTAGTAAGATTGATCTATTAGAGTTTGGGTATGAACCGAATTATACTGAGAGTTCTATTGGAGTTGATAGTATGTCTTGAAGAAGTTTTGAAAAAGTCAAAGATGGATAAAGAGAAGAAAATAGATTTTACACTCCTAAACGACCTCAAACACTCCATCATTTGTTAGGCATATTATATTAGGACTCCATTATATTTTCCTAGTACGTTAAGGATTTGTTGTATTATATGCATTAGAGTAACATGGCCTATAGTCATTTATACTTTGATTTATTCATTGAATCATCAACGTTTGTAATTTTGGCGATCTTTGATCTTTTTGACTTTGGATCCTTTTGATATTAGTGAATTCTTCTTCCTTGTCCATGACTTTTTCCCTAGTTGGATTTTCACATAAATCTTGTGTTCTAATTGTTATTTTCACATTGTCATTTTTCATGACAAATAGTACCATATCAAATTGGTATTAGAATTTTTATTTTATAACACTAGTAGTAAGCACGTGCATCGCATGTCTTATGTGTGGAATGATATGCAAACAAGTTTTGCAGTACAAATGAACATGAAGAAGAATCGAATTAAGAGATGTACATTTGACTAAGTTTAAAATATTTACTTATAAGTAAAGTAAAGGTACATAAATGATTTTCAAAATAATAAAAAAAAATTAGTCATTTTATCTATGACATAAACTTTTTTACCTTAAAAAGTAAAAACAAAAATGTATATTATCTAAACACATTTAGAAACAAAAATTTACGTACTAATCATCTCTTCATGTTAATCCATAGCATAACCAAAGTTATATTCAAACAGATATAGAAGTGAAAAATCTTAAAACAAATTTTTTTTTTCTTTTTTCTTTTGAATGGGGTTAATACAAATGGAGGAATAAAATTTTTCCCTTTAAATGTATTGAGATAAAAATATTTTTCTTTTCTTTATATATCTATATCTTATAAGTAAGTAGATTACCATCAATTTTTATGTGAAACAATAAGAAAATACGTAATACTAAATTAATTATTTTTTAGAACACATAAAATTAATTTTTACTAATACTAATTTGGTTTTATTGTAAAGTGTGTCATTGAGATGCGAAACTTGTATTTAGTACAAATATGAGAGGGGTATATAACTCCTAATTATTAGGAATAGTTAATAAGTTTTTTAAGATTGATGGATAATTTTTCTCATCTTCGACTCTTTCCCTCCTAACTGTTCATCACATTTAAGCAATTTTTTCTTTTCAATTTATTATTTTTTGTATTTAAATAATTATATCATCTATTATATTTATTAAACGTGCAATATATATATATAAAGGTGACATTAATCATAGATTAATTACAATTTAACTTTTCTCTTTTTAAGTATAGAGAATACTCATAATTTAATCAAATTAAGTTTAATTACTTAAATTACATTTTTTAAATTATGTTTACTACTTAAAATCGACGCTCACATATATAAATGTAATTTTTGTTAATTATATAATATGATATATTAAAGATTGCATTAATATAATGGTAGACATATTATAGTATAAAACAATATTTATTGTGGTTTTAATAGGGTTAAATTCACCAATTGTCACCTAACTGTATATTTAGTTTCACCAAGGTCACCCAATTTTATATTTAGTGTTACCATAACCGGCCAATTTGATTTTATATCACTAAGGCTATCCAATTTTATATGTTGTTTCACTATGACTAACTAATTTCATAGAACATTTACAATGATTACCTAATTTTTTTCACCATTTTCAATAATTTTAGAAGGGGTTAAAATTAGTAAAAATGGTGAAAAGAAGCTGAGTAACAATAATGGAACGTTATACAAAATTGTGTAGTTATGATGAAATGTTATATGAAATTGAGTAACCATAGTGAAATAAAATCAAATTGGATGGCCATGGAATCCTAAATTTAATTGGATGATCATGATGAAACAAAATGAAATTGAGTGGTTATGGTGCATCGAGTATAAGGTTGAGTGGCTATCGATGGATTTATACTGTTTTAATATAATTATATATGTAGATGAACTTCAATTTTAAGTGATTAAACTTAATTTGATTAATATAAATTTCTAAGTACTCCAATATAAAACAATGAGCATTACACTTAATGGCTATTAAATAAAGTTAAATTATATTAAATGGTACTATATTAAATATATAAGAGTAGAATTGATATATAGCTTAATATATAATAATAAAATTGGAATTCAAAAGTTTCTCCTCAATTCTCACTTTTAATTTCTAACATGGCCATTAGAAATATGTGATGGAGCTGTAATACCTCACTTGGTAATAATATCACAGATTTTCCCATGGATGAATATCCAATTAAAATACACGACGTAATAAAACATTGGCTTACTTAGTTCGATTAATTTCAAGGAGATCAATGGTCTAAAAGATGAATTAACATTTTGTCTTTAAATATCGTAGAATTTCTTCAAAAAAGAGGTTCATTTGTTGGTTGTGATTATGTGCATGGATTTTGAGGATGAGGAAAAGAAGTGGATCCTCCATTTTTTTTTTCCCTCGAGTTTTCGCTGCAGATGGCCATTAGAATGCTCATGGCTCGTGTGTGCTCCCTCATGAAATGTTCCAAACTATGGTTTTTACATATTATAGAAACTCTAAATTATCAAAAAGGTTGCCACAAAAGTTTGAGTAATGCAAGTTATCGTCATGATAATAAGTCCTCGATCATTTGACAACCCGTTATCTCTCTCTCTCTCTCTCGCATAAATTAAACTATGTAATCCCATTATTCTACATAGATTACCAAATCGACGATGATTTATTATCGTGATGATAAATAACATTATTTAAAGGTTATGGTAAGTTATTTGCTATTGGGTAATACTTTTTAAGGGGATTTTTTTTTTTTTTAATGTTGGTAGTTGGTTAAAATGAGCTAAGAATTAAGAATGTATTGAAAATACAAGTATGAGAAGTAATTGTCTAACTTCCATTTTATGAAGTAGTGCAAGCTACAAGTAGGTCTTCACATGGTATAAAACAATTCTTTACACGTCTTAAGTAGTGTTTGAAAACGTTTTCAATGTCTAATGCTAACTTAAATAGAAGAAAATAAAAAACTCATGTCTTGAGTGAGATTGTTATTTGTGCATAGAGTCATTTAGTGAGCTCAATTATCATGGTTTTGGTCAATGTCTTTGAAACAAATAATCGTAATTATGCTTAATTGACATTACTAGAAGTTCAGTGAATTTTGAAATATAATCCCATATTATGGAAATGATATTCTATTCTCTATGAAAAAATAATCCCAACTAATGGTGAATAGCAATTATTCATTATGAAATATAGTAGAAAGAAAAAGTGTATCTATAGATTAGTCCAATTCCAAACCATTGTACTTCTTTTTCTTCACTTTTAAAGAAAAGTCTGATCTCCAAAATTGTCTTTGTTTGAGGGGGGAACCATGATTTATTTCAAAACTTGCAACAAGATTGAAAAGGTTCACATCATAAACAGATTTGACGTAAATATACAATGCAAATTAGGTACAAATGCATAAAATAAAATCCCATGGACAAGGCATAATGCATTGCTTTTATTAAAGTATATAATAGGACGAGCTCGTGGGCAAGGCATCTTTACAATTTACCTTTATTCATCAATTCGCATCTTTTCTCAAAATTACAATACCTAGGAACAAGATGAGAACGTGAAAGAGGAAAAACAAGAGTTCATCTCTTGTTACACTCAGAAATGTCTTAGAAGGCTGGCAAAGGTATCTCCTGCAAGAAAAGAAAATGTTTACAATCCAATTGAATAAGTGAAAAGCAAATTTTTAGAGAATCGCAGTATACCAGCAAAAACTATTGCTCTGTTTACT